TGTGTGGACTTCAACTCCCAGAATTCCCCAGCCAGCCCTGCTGGCTGGGGAATTCTGGGAGTTGAAGTCCACACATCTTAAGGTTGCCAAGGTTGTGATGTAAACACACAAATAATAAACCAACAAACAAAAATGTGTTCCTAGTTGCCTCAGATGCTACATCTGAATTGTGGAGTGCACAATCGATTGCATATTGCATGAGGACAAATTTTATTTATTTATTGCATCTTTGCATATAATGCTTCATTCCTTAGGGTCCTAAAAAGAGATCTTCAACAGCAGGTCTTCCAGGAGGTTCGGGGTAATTTGTATTTGGAGGGCCAGGGGTTTCCAAGGGGGGGGCTGCCAAAAGAAGATGTCATCGACACCTCCCTCCAAGAACGCCCAGGGTGCGCAGACCCGGGACCCAAACCATGTTGGACTTCATTCATGACCAGCTCTTGGACTTGTGCCCAGAGATCATCAGCCACCAGGTTGTGGAAACCATATCACTCATGTCACGTGGCTGAATCCAGGGGCTCTGAGGGGCAGGAGGGCAAAAAAGTCAAGATGGCAGATGGAACTGTGCAAAGCCCACTTCTTTCATGCTTGGGGCTGTCAGCCCCCCAGTAGACCAGACCATGAAATCAGCCACTTTGATTGAAATTGGCTATAATACCCGAATTTTGCAAGTCTATGCTGAGCCTCCTCCCCTCCTAAGACTCCAGGCGTCCGTCTGCGTTTGCTTCTGAATTTTTTCTGGACGTTCTGGGCTTAAAAAGGCCTTTTGCATCAGCAACCAGTCCCACATATCTCCGTCAAGGTCATCTTCCTGACTGTGAAAAAAAGGGGCTTCAACTGTTTGTGACAATTTTGGCGCAAACCCCATGGATGTCCCTGGGTGAATCTGGTGCCACTAGGTACCAGACAAGTTTGGACAAGTTCCTGATTGTCTCCAAGGCGGCCCCATGAAGGGTGTGTTGCAGTAGTCTAGCCACAGGAGGATGAGGGCCTGGCAAAGCTGAGCAGCTAAGAAGAACATCCACACGGCTTTTATTTTTTCCCCAACGGGCAAAAAACATCTCGTTCTATCCAAAATGCAACATGACCAGCTTCTGGACCTAAATTTTGATGCGGAGAAGGTTCGTTTTTGTGGTCTCGTGGTGGCAGTCACTAGAGAGAGGTGACAACGGCCTTTCAAACTTCTCCACTGAATTTGTGGGCAAGAAATCGGATGAATGAGTTCTTTGAAGCATCTTTGAACAGATGTTCAAATGAAATCCCAAGAAATGTGTTCCAGAAAATTCCCATTTTTTGCTCTTGGTTATATTGAAGGTGTGATGTCACGAGTGTTCTCGGCTGCTATTTTATGTTATTTACGTTGTTTCTATTTTTGGTTGTTCTTTTTTACTCGTTTTTTTATTCTGTTTTAATTGTTAGCTGCCTAGAGTCATATATATGAGATGTGCGGCCATATCAACGTATTAAACAAATACATAAATAAATAAAACCTCTTCCATAAGTTTTTTCATACTGATGTAGCCAGGGAGGCTGCAGAATGATGGAATAGTTCAGAAACAGAAAAAGAGGAAAAAATTATTATTGTACCTTGTAACCATAATACAGTAAGCTCTCCAAAAGTCTCAAATATTTGAAATAAATGCCAAAATCCACCCCTCCGATGAGATACAAAAATAGAATTCTTCCTCTTTCCAGGGGAAGAAATCTCAGGGGAAAATGGAAGACAGAGGTCAGCGCAAACAAAGGTTAGCAGAATTTTTATCCTGGGACAGTTGCCCGGCCTGGTATGAGCTCACGCTGGCACTTTTCTAACTTCGAGGTGTAATGGATCAGAACAGGATCTTCTCTGTCATGGCTCCTTAGAACATTCAGAGGAGGAGGAGCCAAGAGGGACCAAGGGGGCAGAGCCAGGGCCCTTTGGGACATGGAGGGATGACGGGGCTCTTGGGTGAAGACCCTGAAGAGGGTTCCCCGCTAAGGATTCCAAGTCTAAGAGGGAAAACAGCACCAGGTCAAGAGCTTAGGTTTATGGTGGACACCATGATGAAGCCAACTTCAAGATGTCATCAAGCAAATGCTGTTTCTGCAATTATGTCACTGTGCGTAATATCATGTTCCCCTCTCCCCACTTCCCCAGGCACTCATGATCAAAAGCCAGCAGACCGAAGAGCACCAAAATCCATTGGGAGTAACGGTCTACTCAAGAATCACGGTTGCTTCCAAGCAGGCCAGCAGCCAAACTGGAGGCAAGGCAACCCAGCTGGTTGACAGTGAAGATTTGGAGCCCAGCACGCCAAGTTGGAGAAGACTTTGCTGGCCATAAGGTCTCCATTTTGCATTTCTCTGATCAGCTGCTGACACCCGTATCTCATTCCCAAGATCAGTTCCTAGGACCCGGAACAGGGTTTGCCCCCTGACCTTGCTCTTCTTCTGAACTCTCCTGTATGCAACTCTTGCTTCCTGGACTGACCAGGTTTCAGACCTGGGCAGCTGGAGGTTTAGCTGGAAGTTTCCCCTAGTTTTGAAAATACCCTCCTTAACATTCCCATTAGGCCAAGCCATCAGATGCAATTAAGCAGGCGTGACTTAGCAGCAAGCAGGATCTGTCCTTGGATGATGTCCTTTCCCTGGGGGGAGGCTGCCTTCTACCTGCTGTGGGTCCCATCCTGGCCACCGCCCCACACATAAACCGCAGCTTGTTTCTGAAGGGCAGCCATAAAATTACAAGAACATTGCACGTCCCCCCCCCCTTGATTGTTTGCAATCTGACTTCTCTCTTTTTTATAACCCGCCCAGGGGGCTGTAAATCGTCCCAACCTGTGCCATGATATCCTAGTTATTCAGTAACCAGAGGGTGTCCTTTAAAAGATCCTGTTTTCTGACTCTCGAGCCAAAGTTCTCGGCTGTCTTCACATTCTAAGGGAGACCCTGAATCGCGGCTCACCATGAACGCCTCTCTGATGCTAATTTTTGGCTTGTGCTTCTTAGCGGCTCCTTTGGAAGGCATCACTGTCCAGGTGACCCAGAATTTTATGATGTCTGATTTAGGGTTGGATCTCTTGTTTGGGATTGTAAGGGGGGGGACCCCTACCTGCTAATTGGAGTCCCCAGTGCTGAGTTAGATGAACCAAGAGACTGACCTGGTTGAGGCAGTCTCAAACGTTCTTGAGCAGCAAATCTCCTGACCTCCACCAGGATGGGCTTGAGATCTTCAACCTAAAATCTGGGGAAGAGGTTACCTTCTAGGATGGTCAATCCTGAAGGGCATAGAAAGAGGTGGGCTCTACCATGGATATCCATGAAGGTGGACATGCCCACCTACATCTTCTTCCCAGCTAATGGAATTTGCCCTTCCTTTTGGCAAATTGGTGGTAGCTCTCAGAAGTATCATGGGTAGAACCAACACCACATGGAAATGTGATTTGAATTCTGGTTAAACATAATGAAAATCAATGGCTAGTTTATATGGTTGCTCTTTTTCTACTCTTTCCCTCTTTCGGTCATGTTCAATATTATAATTGATACCTCTTTGGGAGGCTACGGGGGAACAGCATGAAGGCTTCCCTGTTTGTTTATTTGCTAAATTCTGTCCCACCAAATGAACAGCCCTCTTTTCCACCTTTTTCTCTCCAATTTCCACCCAGTGAGAGAGGCTGAACTTGAGAAAAAGTGGCTGGTTCCAAGTCCTCCAGGAGCTTCACAGCTTTGGTGGCCCACCACACTGGCTATGTTGTAGATGTCACGCTGAATGCAAGCACGGTGGCTTCCACCCATAAATAAGAACCAGACAATCATCGTTCACTGTTGGGAGAAGGAATGGCAGATCCTTCACCAGCTGTGGAGATCTGACAAATCCAGATTCCAAATGAAGCAATAACCGTTTTTGTTTTATTTTTCCTCTCCTGGATAGGTACAAAACTTCTCATTCTCCTGGAACTCAGTGAAAACGCTGAAGAGCCTTCTGGATGCTGCACCCAAAAATCCGCGTATGCGCAGCCAAATGACTGTGCCCGTGTGCTTTCATCCCCAACTTCCCAGTGAATTTTTGCCTCTCTGCTCCACGCCTAAGGCCGCCAACGTGATCAGAGCACTTGGTACGTAATACAGCCCTGACTGAGTTTAGCTCAAGAAGGAGCTTAATTTGAATACGTGCCTGGGAGGACCCAGGTCCTAAAAGGGGGTAGTTGTCAAGTCCAAACCCCAATGTAGAAGAATTCTCGTGAAACCAGGCCTGGTTCAAATAAATGCTCCTTTATTGGTTGGTACATGCAGCTTGAAGCAAAGCATTGCTAAAACTAAAGCCTGTGTAAAGTTCCCTCTATTGATTCCCCCGCCCCCCTTGTTACATTGGTGCCAAAACCCTTTCTCCCATACTGGTGGCCTTGTACATTCCTCCCATTGATAACACAGTTCTTCCCAGCCTTCAGACTACCACCGGTTTTGTCTGCCTTCAGGTCTTGCTGTCAATTCCCATATCAGTTTGAGCGCCTCTCCATCTCATAGCAATAACCCAAACACAACGATAAACTACCATCCCCCCCCCTCCAGGTACAAATGGCAGAATCAGATCAAGCAAACACCCATTGACTGCTATAGCTTTTTAAATTGACATTTGATTGATGCAGGTTCTGACAGTAGTTCCAGGACAAAAGAGAAGGTGAAACCAGAACCTTATTTGGAAATTAATTTCATCAATGAACCTAATTGCACCCTCTATATCTAAGGGTTGGCTTAAAAATCACAACTTCTGGAGTCATACTGTGGTCACTCCAAAACTTTTCAAGGCGTTCATACAGCTTGGGTGGAGTCTAGCACAGTGTCTCTGAATCCCAGCAACTTTAAGCTGTGTGGACTTCAACTCCCAGAGTTCCCCAGCCAACAAGACTAGCTGGGGAATTCTGGGAGCTGAAGTCCACACAGCTTAAAGTTGCTGAAGTTGAGAAACACTGGTCTAGCATATGCAACAGCTGAGAATGGCTCATTTTTGGCACATATGGGTATCTAGGGTTTACTGTGATGTGTGAGCCTAGCTATGGCAATTTGCAAACCTGGTTCATGGCTCTGAAAGTTGTCTAAACCCAGACAATTGTGAGTTCTTCATTTACACCCAGGGTAGAGAAATTCAGAAGGCCAATTTCTCCACGAGGAAGGAAAATTCTCCAACCACTTCTCAAGGACAGAACGTGCCCTTGGGAGCAGAGAGGACCACTGCTACTGAAATGCCCCAATGAAAGAATTCTCACCTACATCATTGAATGGAAGGATTGGAAGGGAACTTTGGGGTCATCTAATCCATCCCCTTGCCCAGGGCAGGAATCCACCACTACAGTATTCCCAACAGATAGTCATTCAGCCTCTGATGAAACTCTTGCAATGGAAGAGTCCCCAATGCCTGAGGCATTGCTGAACAGCCCTTCCTGTTGGAAAGTTTTTTCTGATGTCCAACAGACATCTACTTCCCTGTAATTTTCACCCTTCCTTTCTCATAGCCACCTTTAAGTATCTGAAGAACTTAATATAGACGATGGTCTTCCCTTTCTTCTATATGAAGCTCTTCAGGTACTTAAAGATGGCTACTATGCCTCTCTGCATATTTCTTTGGAAATTCATGGAAGGGAGGGAAGCCTGGGAGGCCGCAGATGACTGGAGAGAAGATTATTGTCCTGTTTTTCTGTTCCAATCTTCCCATCACTCTCCAGCCTTCATGGCTGCCCTCCCTTCCAGATCTAAAATGTCTCATGGGCAATTTCCCTTGCGATTGGATGGAAAGGAAGGAAGCCAGGGAGGCTGCAGGCTGATGGAGAGAAGATTATTGTCCTGTTTTTTTTCTGTTCCAATTACTCTCCAGCCTTCCTGGCTGCTCTTACTTCTAGATCTAAAAAAATCCCACAGGGTAAACTCCCTTAAGATTTATGGGGAGTGAGAGAAGCTGAAAATGCCTGGAAAGAGGGAAATGCCTTTCAAATTCTTCTTTTAAGGTATTTCTGCTAGAGGAAAAACAATTTGCTTTCTAATGAAAACAAGGCAGGACAGTTTCTCTGCTGGGAGCTTCATAAGTGCTGAATACTTCTCACCTGAGGCTGATGGGGTGGCTTTGAACGGTGAATCCCATAGCTTTGAGCTTTTCAACCTGAATTTCCCAATTTGGACAACTTCTGGCTGGGGAATTCTGTGGGTTGAAGTAGCACATCTGAAAGTTGTTCAGATTGGGAAGCCCTCTTCAACAGACCTTGTCTTCCTTGGCTTCAGATACCATTGCCAGCGAACCTGAGATCTGTGAAATCTGTGCCAACGTTGCCTGCTCTGGATGCTAATGGAGCACCGGCCTCTCTCTCCGCGGGCTGCTCTGGACCTCCTGATGGCCACCACATCCTGGTCCTGCTACTGTGACTTCCTGCAACCTCTGTTAGAAGTCACCTCTGTTTGCTTGCACTCACCGTCAACTCTGTAGAATCCAGGACTGGCTTCGGGAGAAGGGAAGGGTGGAAGACCAGAATGGGGATCGAGCGGAGCTCCTGGAAGTAGACCAATCCAGGAAGGGTCCTTCTCAGTAGCCGTGTTCACACGCTGCCCTAAGCCATTATTTCCTTAACCATGGTTTGCTGGACTTGGCTGGGTCCCATAGCACACTCAGCTTAGTTCATGTGGGGCATTTTATGGGAACAAAGTCAAATGCGAGCTGTAAACCATGCTTTTTGGCTCAACCGGCATGAGGATGTGTTTGGGTTTAACCTTTGTGGCAAAAGCTTGCAAGATGGCCTTCTTCCTTGCCACATTTCCGCCACGCCTCCCCATGCTAACTCTGTTCCCAGCTCACTTTCATTCCTCCTGGGCTGCTTCAGGCCTTCTCTCCCCCTTCGTCCCTCCCCGAATAGATTTATTTTTGTACTTCTGCAATCCTTAAATCTCCTGCTCTGCTGATACCCCCCTCTTCTGGAGGGAAGTCTTAGAGCACCATAAACACCGCCCCCCTGGAAATGAGGAAAAGGCTGTTATGATCTGATGGGAAGCAGATTTTTCAGTCAATAAAAAAATTTATGGGGCTGTCCTTATTTGGGCTGCTAGTCCTTCCGGATTCAACAGGACGTACTCTTGGGACAGGGTGGGTGGAAGCTTAGTGTGAAGTCACAAGCTTCGAAAGATTTACACACAGATCCACAACCGTCTAGAGCTGAAAGGATCAGCGAATTAAACTCTCTTGTTCACCTCTGGGAGTCATCAGACACGCATTAGGAGAAATGGGGATGATAAAATAAATCAAGCGGATCACTCAGGACCTGGGTTTGCTCTGCTGCTGAAACTAAATGGGATAGAGACATTTGGGATCAGTGTCCAAGTTCATACAACAGGTTCAGGCCAGTTAAAGACCCAGCAACAGCATCTTCCCTGGTTAGTGTACCTCCAGTTGCCGGCTAGCCTAGAATCCAGTGTGTTGTGTAACCTGAGAAGTGGGTTAATTCAAGAAGCAAATGGACCGCCTTATGCCAGAGTGTGGTGTGAACCCAGATCGCTGGCCAGAGCAATGCCAATGGGTTAGCGTCTTGTGCAAATGTAGCCTATAAAGCAGTGTTTCTCAACCTTGGCTATTTTAAGATGGGTGGACTTCAGCTCCCAGAATCCCCCAGCCAGCGTGCTTTAAGATGTGTGGACTTCAACTCCCAGAACCCACCAGCCAGCATGCTTTAAGATGGGTGGACTTGAACTGAAGATGAGTTGAAGTCCACCCATCTTAAGGCAGCCAAGGCTGAGAAACACTGCCATAAAGACTTGCAACCTCCACTGAGATGGCTAAAGGATGTGGAGCGTTGTGAAGTGAGTAGGTTTTCTTGTGAGTAAGGCCCTCTAAAGACCTTCACTTTACTAGCTGTTGTTACTGGGGGATTTGCAAGAAACTTCCTCTGCTCGTTCATATTTGGGCAGCAAAGATGTTTCTGCTGCTGGTTTCTCTGCTTTGATCCTTAGACTTTGGTCCCGGTGTCTCGTAAACACAGCCACCTAGACTGATCTGGCCCTGCCCTGTTTGCACTTCCCAAACAGCCAACAATCTGGGTTTCAGAGGGCAGCAAAGGCAGAGACACTTAGCCAGCATCTTAAGGCTGTCTAGGTTTTTCCAGCCCGGATTGGACAGCTCTCTAAAAATAGGATGCTGGCGGAGTGAAAGGATCATTGCTTCTGAAATTTCAGACTCTTTGCAGAGACTGGCCCTTCCAGACTCGAAACCTTCTGTGCTCCACGATTGCCCTCTGTCGGACTTCCATGGCAATGTTTGGTCAGATTTTAAATCCCAGGCAGCTTTCCCAGACAGTGGAGAAGGGGAGCCGTGTTGGTCCATGGTGGCCAAGAATCAGGAGGACTCTGGGAGCTGAGCTTATTTATGCCCTTTACATAAAATTTGTGAGTTGGAAAAGGTGCTTCCAGGCTCCGTCTGATAAGAAGCTTTCCTAGAGGCCTTCCCAGCAAGTAAAGTCAGGCCAGATTAGTACTCGAATGAGACTACCAGGAAATGTCAGGGTTTGGGTAAGACTAGAAAGTCCAAATATATCTTAGAAGAAAGCAATGTTGAACCCCTTCAGTAGAGTCCTGACTTTTGATTTCCACCCATGAGAAAACTGCCAAATGATAGGAATAAATTACTGATCTGATTGTTTAATGTTTAGTTTTACATGGACCTCCGCTGGACCAGCTTTGGTCTCTCTCTGGAGCTCCTCAAAGATCCAAGGAGAAGCTGAGCAGAGAACGCTTCATTCACACTTTGCCCTAAGTCATAATATTGTTTGGTTTTAGCACCATATTGCGTTAATCCAGTCCTTCTGGTCTGTCAAACATGGTCGATGGTCCAGCATGGAAACCTACCAATTGTGGTTCATGGTGAACCATGATACACAGGACATAAAGGCACTCAGTAATAGCACATAAATATAGGAAGGTCAGTCATGGGATCCAAGGATTTCATTACTTCTGTAGACAAAAGCAGAGTATAAGGAAAAAGCTGGAAGAACTCAAAGTCTCAATACAGAAAGCCGACATGATTTAGGAGGAACGCAACTTATTCAAAAAGGATAGATTAGGAACAGAGGAGTAGAATTAGATCAGAAGGAAGCACACACCGATCCTGAGATCCAAAAGTCCCATCTGGATGCATTTGGGCAAGAAGAAAGAACAAGGAAAATATTACAATGGGATATCCTCCAAGCCCTGCAGAAGATCTGGATCACACCCTACAGGACAAGGTTACAGAACCTTCAGGGAAGAGAGGCATAGCATTAATGGGAAACTAACAACCTGAATATCTGTTGGAATATCAACTAGGCTTCATCTTCCAGAAAACTGAAGAAGAGACAAAAGGATTGAGGTCACTGATGCCTAAAAGCAGTGGGGGAAATTGACCACCATCATCTTGGGCTTTAAGATACTACAGAAAGGGATCTGGGTCATTGTCCAGTCAGACTAGATTTCATTAGAGCCCCTTTCAACAAGCTTAGAGAAGAACTGGACAGGGTCCCACAGATGGGAATCTTCTGGTCAAAGAGATCATAGGATCATTGGCAACTTCTTGAAAACAAGATATTGGGAGTGTAATCATGATCTTTCTAAAGAAAGAAAAGAGGAACAGTTAAGAAGCTGTGGTGGATGTAAATGGAATTTTTGACTGATGGGACAAGAAATGGAAGCTGGATGTGGTCATCAAAGCAAGCAGGTAAGATCTTCAGGAGAAAAAAAAATGTCAGGGCAAAGCTAGGAAGAAACCTGGGTTCCCAAGGGAAGCTAAAAGCAACAAAAATTTTTTTTAAAAAAACTGCATAATCAGAGCAACGAAAAGAAAACAGTGAATCTGCTGCTGGAGAAGACTGTATGGGGCTCCCTGGTGCCAAGGGGAAAGCTCATTTTTTATGTCATTTTGGTCTTCCCTGCAAAGGGGAACCTGTGCAGTGGGCTCTAAACAGAACCACCCATAAAAAGAGGGGGCAGGAACAAAGGGTTCGGGGACATCCATGTTTATGGGTTTAAGTCTCCAGGCCAAGAACTGGTGATGTCCCTGAGTCTTGAAGGAGCTTGTAGAGGCCTTTTCTGTCTGAAATCACAGCAGAGGCATCATGCCAGAGGACTGGACAGATGTTTCTATCTCCAAAAGGGGGCGGGGAAGCAGCCATGCTCCTACAAACCAGCCACCTTGACTTTTTTCCTGGGAAAAACTCTGGAACAGCTTCTTGAGTGGGGTGGGACTCCTAAGTAGAGTGAGAAACGGAAAAATGTCTGGGAAAACTCATCCCAAGAAAACCGCAGGGAGGTACCTAGGAGTCAAAATCAAAGGGGATATTTTTTATGAAAAGGTATCATTAAGTTAATGTCTGAAGGCTTTGTCGTTTTGGAGCAACCTTTAATACCCCTTTAGACAGCTCAAACCTTACCGAGGGTCATTCATTCATCAACCAACAGGTGGAACAATAGCATTAGGTGGACAACGAAACGGTGGAAAAGTGGGAATCTCGCCAGCTTTATTCTGAAACACCTCCGAACCTGCCTCTCCTCCTGGAATCTCAGGCTGAGGAGTTGTTGAAATGGGCTTGGCCTGGGCAAAATGTGCCATTTGGCCTGCTGAATCTTTCCCGGTGACTGCACAGAGTTGTCCCCTCCATCTTCCATCCCTTCCAAGTGATTCAACCCTCAGCAGAATAAATGTGTTGAAGGAAAAAGCAGACGTTTGGGTGAGTTTTGGGGGCAGAACCCTACAAACCAGGACCTAAAATGGTCATTGGGTATCATTCACCCGTTTGATTGTCATCCCATTCCTGAGATGTCCTACTCCGTCTACGTTGAAGCAGGTTTCCAAGACAAGGTGCCTCCTTGAACAGACAAGGACTTAGTTGCTTTCTGCAAAGGGGAGGGGAGGGGAGGCTCCTTCAAGTCACACTCAACTCCTTAATGGAAAGTCCCTCCAGTTTTATTGGCAACAATTACAATTATGACCGTAATAAAGATTGGGTTGATTTGATTTCTTGGCCACAATATGGAAGTAATTTGTCACTGTCGTCTTCTGGATTCCCTTTTACTAGTCTATTCTACTAGCCCTAGGATCTCCTAGTGGTCTTCCATCCCAGGGTGACTCAGGTTAGCCTTTCCAGCTGGTTACTTCATAAGCAGCGCCTGCCAACCCAACAGCCAGTCACTGACCTACTTTGCACACTGTGCTAAGATGTGAATTTTGTGCAGCTAATTTAATAATTTAATAATAACAATTTAATAATAATTAATAATAATTTAACAAGATGTGAATTTTGTGCACCTAATTTGTTATATAAGGAGCTCTGTAACCCAATATAGTTTCTCCCATACTAATTCTCATTTTGTTTAGTGTTTTAGATCATGCACTTCGTTTTTATATACACAAAATACATATAAAAACATATATTCGGATATATATATTAAATGTATATATAATATATTCTAATCTCTATATTAGAATTTTTCTATGTAGCAAAATATGCAAAACAAACAAAGGAAATAAGAACTAGAGAAACAAGAAAGAAATTTCGAAAAGAAAAGAAGAAACACACAATTGTGCCTTCCGCCCTTCTTTCTATCAAGTCATTATCATCTTAAACTTTTCCCCAACCTCTTGGTCTCATTTTTAATCCCCAAATTCATTCTTTTTCTTCTTGCAGTAAAAAGTCCACACACTTCCCCTGATACATATATTCAGCCTTTCGCTTTTTTTACAACTCCTTTTAGATCTGCACTTTTCTCTCTTTCATACCTTCTAGGTCTCTCAGAAATCTTTTTTAGTTTTTGGTTTTTACATGATGCGTTTGTTTATCTCTTTCTTCCTAATGACGTACCGCATTCACTTATGCCGGCCCGTGACTAAATAAGAAAGGTTGATTGAAGACGTGAATTGCCACACTAACGCCTTCCGAACGGTGCCCCGGAAGGGTTGTCGTCTGGAGCTGTGGCTTTCTTTTTGCGAAGGGCGTGGATCTTGGCCGCTCGATTGCCAAGGCAAGTCGGAAAGCAAAGCGTCAGCTGTTGCTCTACTAACTGGAACCCCCCCCCCTTCCAAGATCCTAGTTCCCTCCAGCGATGCCGAAGACGTTCACGGAGCTACGTGAAGCTACGAGCTGCTGCCTGCCCTCCTTCAAGGCACTGGGGTCGGGGGACTTCCAGGCCACCACAATCCCATTTCTAATCCCCCCTCCTTTTAGGCATTTTTTCCCCACCCATGAGAAAAAGTTGATATGGAGGGGAGAACTGGCAAAGATGGAGATGTTGAGGAGGGGTTCACCCAATCGGCTAAACCATGCTTTGTTCTAACCATTGTTTGTTGGCGGTCTTCAGACAGCACACTCAACCAAAGCTTGCAGGGGACAGCCGACAGCCCCATAGCTACCGCCAGTCCAGCCGCCACAGTTTGGCAGCGCTTCCAGGCAGGAAATAGGCCAAATCTGTAGTTTCGGTCTAAACTAGGCTTAACCCAGGCTTTACGCCCCTTCCAAGAAGAGAACCATTTCCAACACCAGGAAAGCAGAAATGTTCAGCTCGTCCATGGAGGATGGCCCTGTTCCCATGGCCCGCTTACCAGCGCCGCCAGCCTTCCAAAAAGGGTGGTTTCTTCCAAAAACAGTGGTTAGCGTAACCATGGCTTAGTGCAAAACTGGGCCACCTTTTGGGAGAGAAGAGCTGAATGATTCAAGTGGGCAAAGCCGGGTCTTTCCCTGTTCCACTGAGGGGGCTAGAAGGAGTTCGCAGCATCCCACACGCAGCATTTGCACCCGAAACCCCCTTCTGCTTCAGATCTGCAGCCCATTTTAGAGCTTGCACTCAACTTGGACCTTGGAGTCCATACACAGCTCTGCATTTCAGGCAGAACGTGATGCCTGGACTCAACCTCCATATCGTTTAGTGTTATTGAAAGAAGAAGCAAATGAGTCAAGACCCCAAGCATTGGGGAAGACACGATCTTGGGGATGGTCTCCCCCACCTCCAGACGGCCAAGCCTTCAAGGAGATCTATGTCCGTTGAGGACTAACTGGGCCAGGGTTGACCGAAACCACTTCTGTGGCCATCAGCAAGAGGAAAGCATCAAAGGGTGAGGTGGCCGGGGGGGATCTGTCTGCCAAACCAGTCGGGCCAGCAAAACCAGGGCATGCATTTCTCTTTTGCCCATATTAGGGGACGTTCTTCTGGTAGATGCATTCAGACCAGCCATGGGTCAACCCACGCAGATGCTTCCAAAACTCTCCTCTAGATCTCTTCCCAGTCAGGAGTGCAGACCTTGGGGAGCGGGGTGCAAAGCAACACCTGGCCTTTAAACGGTATACCTGGGCCCTGCTCCCCAAGGGGCAAAACAGGACAAAGAAAATCAAGATGGGTTTAACTTAAACTGAACAAAAATTGCATGATTCCCCCGGGTGCATTGATAACACAGCCCAATTATGCCTTCCTTCCTGTGTGGGAGGTGCCCCCGAGGCAGTGAACGGGGTGTCTTCATGGAAGATCAGTGGCTGGGCAAGATTGCAACAGGAGGCTCCAGAAGCCTTGGGGTCTTGCTTCCTTGCCCTTGGCATGAGGCTGAAGAGCCTGGGGGGCAGAGCCTGCCCCAGTGTGGTAAGCGACGGACTATGAATCAGAAGGCCATGGCGCTAAGGTCCCTCTACTCCAAAGTGGGGGAGACCCTCCTCCAACCTTTACTAGCAGGAAACTCAACGTCAGCAAAACACTGATAACTCAGCTGACTCATGTGAGGAGAACAGGCAGGTTTTTGAGCCCCAAGAGAGGGGGAGGAGGGAGGGAGGCTTAGGGTGTCCCAAAAGCAATAGCAAGCCATTTTAGCCAAGGGTTAGAGTTTGAGAA